TAATTATACATACAGATTTTTTGACTGGAGAAATCCCACTGTGGGGTAAGCACAAGGGTTTAAGTTGTTGCCGCTTAGCATGGCCCCATTTGGTAGATGATGCAACTAACCATCTGGCTACAAAGAGCATGTTACTCCATTGACATTCATTCAGAAATATCAGTGTATTCTGATGAAATAATATTTTTTTGTAAGCAATAAAAGTGCCTGAGTTTGTCCAAAGAGACTTAAAAGTGTAAAAAAAAAAAATCTACATATTTCATCACAGCTCGGTATAATTACTAACCACTTAGTAACTACTACTAGGGTTTTTGGTCCTACCAACAGTTAATTCAGGCTGAACAGTAGGTGGGGATATTTGACAACTGCTATTAGTGGGCACTAGCAAGCCCGAATACAAGCCCAAAAATCTGCAACCCACGACCCCCAAATTTATAAGCAACTTTATGAAAAATCAAGCTGCTTATAATAAAAGGATACAGCAGTTGCATGTTGTGCAATTTGCATTGCTATAACGCCATGTCATTTTCCTGCAGCTATAGAGTTATTAGTCACATGGCATTTTCGGCTCATGTGATTGGCTCAAAATGATTGGCAGCAGAATTTAAGCTGCATGTGCCGCCATGAGCATAGCTGACAGATTTTTAAATTGTGTACTCCTAGAGGTTTTCTGCACTAACCGATGAAGAGGCATTGGGGGAGTGCTAATGCATAGCTTGTTTATTTTAATGTGGATCACTTAATATAATTATTTTACCACCACAAATGTCTCTATAAGAATGTTTTACCTATTTCTATACAGTTGCGATGACAATGCATTAGTATAGAGGTATGATTCTTTGAAGTTTTTTGAATAGACTGCTCTAGAAATGAGGAGAGAAAAACATATTACCCCACTTTATATGTTTTCCATGTGAAAGGAATGCTTTTCTCAGTACATATCTTTTAAAATTACAAATTGAAAGGTTCTGACTAAACATTTATATTTTGCTGATTAAATTTGATCTCTCTATAATTCTGACTGCGAATAGTCTTTCAACACCTCTCATACTCCACTGACTAGCTGTCTTCTCCATCCTACTCTCTCGTCTCCTGTTTCTTTTTCCATTTCTGGTATCCTGATATTAGCTGCGGCATCTCTTGCCAACTACCTGATGGAGTGTGAAGTGTGGCATTTTAGGATAAACCACTCAGTGTCTTAAGAAGGAGCCCACATATCTTGTATCATTACATCTAAGAGCAGTCATGTTAGGGTACTTGCACTAACTAACAATTTAAAACCAAATCATATGAGAGTTGGGGTTTCTGCTGGGTCCCCTGTCCCATCCTTCCTCACACCCTTATGGACACCCCTGTCTAATTGCCATTGCAGCATGAATAAATTATGTGGTAATATAATTTGACTGCTTCTGGCTTTAAATGTATGTATTTGTTGATGATGTGGGGTGATGCTAACAGCTGTTTACTGTGTTAACTGTTGAGGTCCATATACAGTATGAAGCAACAATAATAGAGCTAATTACAGGAACTCTGTAAAAACCCTTTCATCTGTGAGACTGAAGTGTTGACAAATTAAAATGTCTTGAGTTGTAATTTGTAGTTGCCTTGATACGAATTTATTGGCTGAACAGGATATTATACATTTGGCGAACAAACAAATAAACCAAACAGGACAGTTATTACGTTTTATAGTGTTGACTGTGGTGTGGTAAAAAAAAAAAGAGGTCATTCTTAACAAGTAAAAAAACCCAAAAACTTCACTTTCTGCATCAGCATAATGGTTGGATGCTTAAACTGTGTTGCTGTGTTTTCTTAGGCACTAAAATTGAACAGAAGCTCTTAACATTAGACTTTGGCACTGTGCCTGAATAAAATGGCTTTAATTTTTAATTGGCTTCAAATTACAGCAAATCCTTTTACCCAGTCTAATTACGTGACATTCTAAAAATCACAGACTTACTGACTCCCTTTGACTAATTTTAATTTATTCATCAAATTAATAAGGACCCATTCATAACACTGGCACAAGCAATGCCTGTAGATAATTTCAATACAAGTAGACTTCACGAAGAAAGCAGCAGAACTGACCAATGAGTAAAAAATCATAAAGATGAATTACTGAAATACATACATAAGTGCTTGCCGGGTCATGCACGCTGAAGAATAGTTCATAATTCTAACTTTGTTCACTCAAAATAGAATGGCTCATATGTTAGCTGTTGGGCTAGGGAAGGGCAAGCTCTCGTGCAGATGGGTTTGAAACAAAAGGCAACAAACTACCCTGTGGTGGAACAATTCTGTGTGAGTATGTGACACACAGAAGGTGTGCACGACTTAATGTGAAGCATCTGGCTTAAAGCAGTGCATGGCAGTTAGAAATTTTGTCTGACTTGAGTGCCGACACCACGCCACTGTGACGTATGCCATCAGAGAACTGCAAGATCAATTTGAGAGCAGTCAGCTTGTTCAGTTAGAGCAGTTTCACCAAAGTGGCTGCACAACTATTTCACAATGATCTAAACTCACCGATGATAATGATCATGTGTATTTCGTGTTTATACTGACACTTTCAGTCCCACCGATGCTCACAAATCCATGTTTTTAACAGTAAAAATTATTTTCATGTAACCTTATATTATGTCATGTTTATCAAAATAAAACTAATAAAAATATAGACTCCAGTTTATTTGTATTTAAATAGTATAGATCTATGTTTAACTTTATTTTCTTACCTGCTCTGTATTAAGCAGTACATGAAGCACTGAATGAAAATTATTTTTAGGTTGTTTGTTTTGTCTTTGTTTTTATACTTGCTGAAAATATTGACTGAAAAGTTTAACCAATTGTGCACAAGCATAATACATAATCAACCAATCGTGGTGTGCTAGAAGGTGGGATCTTCAAAGAACATATACAGTTAGGTCCATATATATTTGGACACAGGCACAATTTTTATTATTTTAGCTGCTGACCAAAACATATTCAAGTTACAGTTATATAATGACTATGGGCTTAAAGTGCACACTCTGATCTTTGAGGGTATTCTCATCAAAATTGGAAAAAAGGTTAAGGAATTAAAGCTCTTTGTTATGTGTTTCCCCCCTTTTTCAAGGGACCATGAGTAATTGGACAATTGATTCAAAGGCTGTTTCATGGGCGGATATAGGCTATTCTTTAAGGGTCTGGAGTTGATTCTAAGTGTGCCATTTGCATTTGGAAGCTGTTGCTGTGAACCCACATCATGCGGTCAAAGGATCTCTCCATTCAAGTGAAACAGACAATTGTTAGGCTTCAAAAACAAAACAAATCCATCAGAGAGATAGCAGGAACATTAGGAGTGGCCAAATCAACAGTTTGGTACATTCTGAGAAAAAAAAAAAACGCACTAGTGAGCTCAGCAACATAAAAAGGCCTAGACGTCCACAGAGGACAACAGTGGTGGGTGATTGGAGGATCCTATCCATGGTAAAGAAAAATCCTTTCACAACATCCAGTGAAGTTAAGAACACTCTCCAGGAGGTAGGCCTGTCACTGTCAAAAGTCTACAATCAAGAGAAGACTTCACGAGAGCAA